TTAATGGTTTGCATAAAGAAAGCGTAAAAAAAGTTTTGTTAAATTGAAGTTTTTGAAAAATAGCTTAAACAATTTCTCATTCCGCCGATAAAAACGGAAGGAATAAATTTCGTACATTTTATGGCTCATAAACGTTCTCGTAACTAGCACCTGCAAGACTTTACAATGCTATTGACTTTCGCGCGCGTACAAAGAGTTTTTCAACGAAAAATGATTTTTGAAAGACACACAAACACTTATGACTCTTCTTTTATGTCAAGTTTATATCAAGTCGTCAATATCGGCCGGTATCTCCGCGTTTCAATTTTTGAGAATGTTTCTCTCCGAGAACGTGGACACGGGAGATAGTCGGGCTTCATCGCTTAAATTTCACCGTGCGAAAATTTCAATCTCTCCCAGAATGTGTATGTATGTATGCGCTGATACCTTATCCAGATCACTCGTAAACTATAGCTTAGAAAGAATCCATGTAGAAAGGTATGTCGTTTCTGAAAGAACGCGCTACGTTCTCGTCCATTTTTTAAGCCGATATCTATCCGGAACTCGCTTTCTGACGGCGCCTCCGATAAATCGCGACTGCGGAGTTGAGCGGTTGCTGCGAGATGGGAATGGCTCATGGACCATGAAATATATTTTTTTCGAGCAACAAGACGTGCGTGTAAATTGACTTACGTACAAAGGAAAGCCATTCTTTGTTTGAGAATCATTAACAATTTTCACACATATGTACACATCTATTTTCAACAAATCATTTATATATTGATGCAAAAAAGTACTTACAATATATAAAAATTATCATTATTTGTCATAATTATATTAAGAAAATATTTCTTTCACTTTTTATTATAACTTGGCCAATTTATTTTATTTTACCTAAATATATTCATATAATTCATATAATATTTGTATTGAATAAGTATCGTTAGAGAATTATATCGAGTGCAAAATTTGTAGTGATAATACATTGAGAAAAAATGTTGTTGAATCAACATTAGTCTAATTGGAAATAATTTTGTTAATTCAATG